AAAGTGAGTGTACGTCAAAAATTAGAAAAAAAAACACATAATTAAATAATGAATTTGAAAAGAATTTGCATGCGAATAGCACAATCAGAGCATTCACGCTAATAAAGCGTGTAAAAACTTTATCAAGATTTTAACATGTTTTTTTTTATAACAGGCTCTTCCTTTTTTTTTACAATATACATACATACATATGAGTGTATGTAATTTTTATAGAACACAATAGTGTCACGCAAACACGTCCTACATCAAATGTTCTTAAAAAATTTTGTAACAAAGAAGTAAAATTTCATCACCCAACCTAATGTAGAATAGATTCTAGTAAATTCTATAAATTTGTTCGAACTGTAAATTTGACATTTAAAATAACCTAAAATTTTCTTTTTAAGGTTTTCACCTTTTGTTTTAATGTAGAGAGCAATTGAATTATTGCAATTCAAATTAAATTATAAACAGAAAATGAATAGAAATTTTAAAAGCAAATTTATTTTTTTAATAGGTGTTGCATAACGAATTTAAAATAATGGTCTAATAATTAGATATTTGATATATTATTTAAATTCTAGAATGTAAAACTGTTGTTTAGTAATTTGTTTCATAAGTTTTTATTTGCAATTTTTTATGCAATTATAATGTCTTTGTAAAAAGTTCAGATTTGATACTTTAAGTTGAAAAAATCACCTTATAATAAAATTAACGCAAAAATTCCGCTGCATGATTCAATATTTTAAGTTAGTATAGTATGTACATATGTAAATCTTGAAGGCAAAACGAATGGAACGTATGTATGTATGTTTGTCAACCATTGCCGCAATAGTCGACGTGGAAGCGATTAATTGCGGAAACACAAGTAAAAATCAACAATGTGAGCTAAATTTTCTGTCAATGATTCGAAATCTAAATTGATATAGCAGTGTAGAATGCAAGATAATGTAATATTAAATGCAGACTAAAAGGATTTTTCTAAAAAAGAACAAATGAGTATTAAGTTGGTCTAATAACAAGTTTGTAGTGTTTCGAAAACAAATTTCATGTTTAATTACCTACATATACATACCTGCTTATATAATTTATGTACATATATAATAACATAAAATGAAACGATAATTTAAAAAATTAACTATAATTTTTAAATTATATCGTATGTTCCCATAAGCAGATAAACAAAAATAGTAAAATTATATGCATTTTTGTTTTTGTATCAACATCAGACCATCCGTTTTAAAAATTAATAGAAAATGAAGTGTAAAAAAAAAATTAAAATTAAAGAAATAAAAAAAAACATTAGTTTATAAAATATTAAAAAATATTTGATATTTTCTTTACTTTACTTTATGATGGGTGACATTTTTATAATTTTTTACAAAAATAAATTGAAGAAAAAAGAAAAAGTCTGGTTGTTGAACTTTCAAATGAAAGCTTGTAAAGAAATGAGCAAGAAAAACAAAAATATCAAAAAGAAAAAAATACACTTATATAAATGTGTATGTTTGTTGTTATATTTAAAAAATTAAATAAAATAAGCGACAAAAATAAAAAAATAAATAATAATAAAATTCATAATGTGCTAATTTTAATTCATTTGTTTTTCTTCGTTACGATTCTTTTCACTTACATAAGAGCACGTTTTTATAATTTTAAAAATTAATAAGTATTTTAAAACTTGTAGGTGATCATAGATAAAACGAAATAGACAATTTATTGGAAAATGTGATTGGCTCACAGTTGTACTCACTTTAAAAATATAATTCGCCCTTAATACTACTTACATTGACAAATGCAGTGTTACTCTGTCAGCATTTTCGTAAAATAAGAATTTACTGCGTAAACTATCAAAAAAATTGATTGAAATTTCAGTTTTATTTGCTTTGCTGTCGGCTGTTTCAAAATTTATCAAATTTTTTTATCTTAAAAATATTATTATTAATATTTATTTTTTAGTTCATTTTTAGACTGATTAATTCAAAAATTATTAAACATATTACTTTATGTAAAGGGAACATGCAAAACTTTAAGTATAACAAAGAATTAGGTGTTTAAAAGGAGAATTTTAAGGGATAACTCTAAATGATTACCCGTATATTTGAAAAAAATTATCAACCATATTCTGTTAGTAACTTCACTTGAGGTGACGAGATATTATTGAAAAAAATTTAGTTTTTCTCTATAGAATTTCGAATTTTGGAATTTATTTTAATCATAAAATTCCAATTTCTCAAGAGCAACTCGTCATGTCAAGAGATGCGACTAACACAATATAGGTATAGGTTAAAAATTAAAATATATAATTGAAGTTTTAAAAAGGCAGAAATTGATTTTATCACATGAACTGGACAAATATGTCATAATTTTCCTTTTATATGGATCAATTTGATTAATCAATAGATGGTCAACTAGTTTCTTTAACACAATATTATTAAGATATTGAATATTAATTTATAGTTTTTTTTTGCATTAATTTAACTGAAATTTTATTTTTGTCAGCCGGTAGCCATTTATCTGCTAAGTATTTAATTTTCTCTTCCTCATTTATTAATGTAACTGTTAGGTATGTATACATAGTAAGAGTCTACATTGTAAAAGACTATTATTATAATAAAGTACAATTATTTATGCATATATTTAAGTAAATACATACTAGTATAAGTAGAAAAATGTATTTAGTAAATATAATGTATCTAGTTATATAATATACTTAATACGTACATAGTATACGTTAATTATGTAAAAAACAATTTCATTTTAGTAAATAACTATGAACATATAAGTTGATGTAAGAAACCAAAGATATTTTCTTTAGTAATTTAATTAAAAACCAAAATTAATAAATATATTTAAGATGAAATAATAATTAATGTTAGAAATAAATGGCTGATTTAGAGATAAAATTAAGTATACTTAGAAGTTGAATTAAAAAATATATGTATAATAGAAAAACAAATTAAGTATCTAATATTTTTATTTAATATACTTACATTAGGTAGGTATATAATATAAAACCTGATAAGATAATTATTTAAGAAATATTAGAAAATAACAAAAAGCTGCACATCAACACATATTTTTATTTTACATGGGTTGCTCCTATTCAATACAATGTACATACTCATATATTTGTAGGTAGGTAGGTACCTACTCAAACAAAGTTATTTTGTTTTTTAATATGATAAAACTAAATTTTTATTCTCTTATAAATTTTTGATATTTTGTGAAAAAAATTTTTAATTTGTGTTTGTAACACAACCGTACGTACACGTAATATTTTGACAAGCTGAATTAGATATTTCACAGCAAATTTTAAAAATTAATAATTTTAATTGAAAATTTGTTTAAAACCGATCGTAACGAATATACTGTATATTCCAGGATTTTTTCTTTAAAATGCTAAAGATATTGTACATTTTATGATAAAATTATAAAAATTTAACCAAATTATAGCCGCTTGCCTTAATTGAATGAACAAATTGTTAAATAAACATAAATACTCCAAAGTTTTGGAAGAATAAATTTAATAAGGGGATATTATTTGATTGAAATTAAGACATTACATTTACTTGTGTATAGGTAGATAGGTATGTAGATTCCAATAAGTATATTATTTAAAAAAAAAAAACTAAATACCTATTTCCTACTTAAGCATATAACGGTACCTATACCTCCTATAATTTCATTTTTGTATTACTTGTGTATAAAACTAAGAAATAATATTTAATTTAATTTATAATTTTTTACGTAAGTATTCTTTGATGTTCCAAAAAAAAAAATACAAAATACACTAAGTATATTATTTATTGCCTTTTAAATAATATTTTACCAAACTTATTCAATAGGAACTATACTCATACACACTAAATGGAAATAATTCATATATAGGTATATATATACATTGTATATATATAAATATTTGAATTTATAAATAATTTTAAAATAAACGCAAACACTTCCTTTAACGTGATATTTTTGAATTCCATTACACAGTGAAAAACGTAAAAATTATCATACCGTAATAAAATTATAAAAATTCAATATATTGGAAAAATAAGTAAATAAAATAAAACTTTGTATCTGAGCCGATAAACACAAAACTTTTACTTATAAGGTTGATAGATAACCTACGAATAAAATTCATAATAGGGCTGACTGTAAATTTAATTAAAAAGGGTACTTATTATCCTATAAGAAGTAAATTATCATACAACCCATGTTTGAGCATGCAAAAATCTAATTTATCAATATTTGTATAGTTTGGTACCTACCTACTTCCTTAACTTATAAAAATAAAATTAAACAAAATATCTAGAAAAGACGGCCTAGTATCAATAATTTTGCATTTATTTCTAACAAGAATTCGAGATATTCATATTTATTTACATAAGAAAAATAATTTCGAAATCGATTTCGAAATACGTTTTTTATATTCAGCACACACCATTTTATATGTTATAAAGTGTACATCATTTCATGTTCTAATAAAGTATATATGAAAGTATACCTACATGTACATAATATGAAATAACAAAGAACAAAATTTACAAACTAAAAATATATTTTTAGATTTCATTTTGATTTTTCCATTATTAAATACATAATTTTATACATAATAAATTGAGTATGTATTAAAAGAAAAACGTTGCTTTGTTGATGATATTTTAAAGACCTTGAAAAGGTTTAAAGTTGAAAGTAAATTTAGAAACATAAAATTAATGTTACTAATATGAATATACGAGTATATATGTATATGCAAAGGAAAAGTTCAAGATTAAGGAGGAAATTAAAAAAAAAAAAATTGACTCCTTTAAATTAATTGCCGCTGACTGCTATTTCCTCTCGTAACTAAGTATAGTCCTCGTATTCCAAATAAACTTACTTATATTGACACACCAAAATTAAAATTATTTTTAATAAGAAAAATTCAGCAAAAACCCCTTTTATTAAAAATTTACAAACACATTATGTAAATATTAGTTAGAAATATGTAAATATGAAAAAATGCCTCTACTTACTTGTCTTAGAAATTCTAAGCAATTAGAATTTATGCGCCGACCTATTTGTTGCTTTTTCAATTCATTTATCAATAAATTCTGCAAAGAATTCGGATCATCTCGAGAATCAACATCATTTTTACTTTGATTTTGTTGAAATTTTTCATCAATATGGCCAGTTGAGCCGATAAAATTCAAGCATTTACATGCGATTAACATATTCAAAAATGTATGTATATATTATTTAATATTCAAATAAAATACGCTTATATATATAAATTTATATGTACTTATAAGTAGCTAGTATATAGTAAAAAAAAAATCGAAAATTTTGTAAGAAAACTAAATATGTATGTATGTTCGTATGTATATAAGTACAATGGTACTACAATTATTATATTTTTCTTTTCTTTTCAAAATATTTTTTATTCAACAAAAAAAAAAATTATTGTTTTGCTTTATTTTTTATTACACCTTCTTATAAAACATATGTATCGTACATAAACATATGAATATATTTATATATATATATATACAATAATATTAGTCTCTATATATTTTAATATATGTAAGTACGTCTATTATATATCAACTTTTTTTATAATGAAAATTATACATACATATGTATACATATATATGTACGTATGGTATACTTTTCTTTTATAACAAATCAAGAATAAAAATTATTTAATTTATATTTTATATTTTTTAAATTGTTTAATTCTCTAAAATCACTACACTTAAAAATATAAAAATTCAGAAATTAAAATTTCAAAATGACTGTACATTAAAATAAAATATATATTTTGAACGCTATTAATGTAAATTTTTATGTTATTAGAAAGAAAGAAAAAAAAATAACTAATGTACAATTCCTTTATCAAAAAGAAACTTTTTTTTTGTTTCAATAACACGGTGATGAGCGCGGACCAACTGCTGATTTTTGATGGGATTCGAAATTTTCTTTTCTTCAAGCGAAGATAAAACAAAATGTCAAAATTAGAAAAATATAAAAATTTTAAGTGTTGCCGTTTTAGTATTCAAAATAATTTTATTTAACTACAAAACATCATTAATTGAAAATTATGCACATAAATTCTTATAAGTTTGATTTTTAATTAAATTATTTTAATAATAATATAATGTATATAATAATCTTTTTAAATTGTTATAAACAAAAGAAATTTCCCACCTAAAAGCAATTATTTTTTCAAAAAAATCTCAAGTGTAGTTGTAGTTTCATTTCAAATTCTCATTTATTTTGCTAAAATAATGAAATGTCAAAATCATATGAGTTTCTAGAAGTAAAAATGTTAGTTTGCAAAAAAAATGTATGTATGTACATAGGTAAGAAATCCTTTTAAAGACATAACAAAAGATAAACTTTATTGTCATTCTGTCAATTAAACAAAATGTAAGTTAATGTAATTATCTTTTTCCACAGACATTAACCGAGAACAATTTCGAAAACAAATCAACTTTGCTATACTTTTCCGAAAAATGTGGCCTTGAATGTGATAACCTTTTTCCCCATCACTTAAATGGTTTACTGACAGTTCAATTTCTTCAATTTTGAGGTTATAAATTTATAGTTTTTTACATGATTTTTTTTTTGTTCTGCAGCAAATCAAAAGTTTTTTTAGTATAAGTAAATTTTTATTAAAAATTTTTGAAATTATTCTTTTATCTCCCGAATGCCTTTAGGAAAGTTTGGTAAAATTGCAATAGGTTGGTATGTATAAATTGTGAAAAATATGGACTATTTCAATGTTTGGAAATTTTTTTAAACAAATATACCTATGTATGCATGTTCCTAATAATTTTACATAAAAATTATCAAAAACCAATTGTATTAAGTTAAGCTACAATTTCAAAATTAAACATTCCAATTACAAATATATTTGGTTTATCTACACTTTAATTTAGCTGATTTTATTCAAGAATATACAATATATACGTATGTAATATTTATTCTGAAAAATAAAAATATTAATGAATTCGAATCTGGATAAAAACTTTTTCTTAGCCTAAAAATCTCAATGTGGTGTTGTGTAAATAAAATGTTGCTAAAGTGTACTTGTTACAAAATTTTGTATTTTTTTATTAAAAATGCCATATTATAAAATATTTATCATATAAATCATGAATAAAATAATAAAATAAATTTTTAGGTCAGTAATTACCTTTGCTGGGATATATGCTTTTGTACTATCGAAGAATTCTATAGAACAGCGGCGTATTGAGAGTATGAAAGTTAGAGATCGTATGAGAAAATCAAACTACGGAGATTACGAACAAAGTGAAAGAAAGTTTTAAATAAAGTACAATATATAAAATTTAATTTTAAATTGAAATGGCGCAACAAATTAGTTTGGCCGACCAGGCAAAATTGCAAGAAATGGAGATTGAAATGATGGCTGATCTATACAGTAGAATGACAAATGCATGTCACAAGAAATGTATACCACCAAAATATAATGAAGCAGAATTAGGTATAAATTTCAAAATTTTTATTCATATTGCACATTTTATGATAAACATAATATTATAATTTCAAATATGTATTTATTTCAATACACAATTTTACTACAAATTATTATAGGAAAAGGGGAATCCGTTTGCATAGATCGATGTGTAGCAAAATATTTAGAAATTCATGAAAGAGTAGGAAAAAAATTGTCGGCAATGTCTACACAAGATGAAGATCTTATGAAAAGAATTGGAATGGAACAGCAAAAATAGTTTTTTTTTTTTAAATTCCAACTTAGTTTGTTAAAAAACTTGAATTATTTTTTTTTATTCTCAAAATGTGTAATATGGTATTTGCAATTCTGGTCTTTTAATTAACATACATAATTTACGTTACTTACAAATTAGAATAAAAAATAGTTGTTTTTAAAGCTTGTGTTTCTCTTAATTTATATAAACTAACTATTTTTATATTGTGTTATTTATTATTACAATATTGTCTTACTTTTATATTGTGTCCTTAGTATCTTACGAAATGTGATAGTTTTTGGAAATGAAAAAGAATTCTGTTGCAGAAATTGTACTATATATAGTTTTTGAACATATTAAATTTAAAGTTGTTAAATTAAAAATCTATAGTACATACATATATGTATTCAAAATTAAACCAATTGCCAATAAGAATGTATCGGCTGGGCTATCATTGTCCCATGATATTTATTCAGAAGCATGTGTATTAGAAAATACTTGTTACAATACAAAAATTTTTGTCAATACAAATACGTCATAGCCCAAACGATTCAGCTTTATCAGCATCTAAATACTCTACCTAATAATTTCATGGAGTCAAAAATTGTAACAATGAAGGCTTATCCTACACAAGAAAACTAAACTAAAATAAAAACAATTATATTTTCAATTATTTTTTCGATTAAATTTTATTTTTTTCATTTCTCTTTTATTACAACCTTATATTATTACTTTGTTTAGAAAATTAAAAAAAAAAGAAAATTTAAATTATAAAGTTTAAAAAAGGAAAAATTTAAAATTGTGTAAAAACAAAAAGAAATATTAAAAATATATTTGAACGTAACATTAAGAGGAACGTATAAATATACGCGCATAAAATAAAAATAATAAAAATTTAATACTACTTAATTATTAAACTTCCAAATTTGTGTAAGTATTTTTTATTCTTCTTTGCTTTATTGTTTTTTAATTTAATTATTTAAAAGCACGTTTGTTTTTTTTTTATCGGCTTATTTAAATATTTTAAATCACATTCACTATTTTTATTCTTTTTATTTTCGATCATATTATTATAATATATGAAGTAATTTTAGTTGATTTCGTTTTCACTATTTTATTTATGTATATCTTTTTTGTATTATTAACTTACCCTTAAAAAAATAATAAATAATTGTAAAAGCATAACATCATCCTTGTCTTCTGACTAATAATGCAAGTCTGAAGAATATCAATGAATGTGTGTTTTGGTAAAAAAAAATTAAAAAAAATTATCCATAAAATGAAGTCATCGTAGTTAAACCAAAGTAATCTCTATAATATGTGTTACTTAAATACTTGTGGCATTTGAATCATTTTGTTGTCTCAAAAAAAAATATTCTTTGGTTTTAAAAGGTATGCAGTTGATTAAAATGATATTCTAATCCGATCCTTGTATAATAATTGTAGATAAAGTTTTTCAATTTCTGAAAATATATTATTTTCTTATTTACAAATATTTTTTTATATTATTATATTTATATAAATTAGTTTCTTTTGTTGTAGTAAAAAAATGCTTTTTCCCTCCAGGAAAAATTGAATAAATAATTATGCCGCTGGTGTGCCACATTCTTGTGTGTGCTATTTTTTTGATTGTTCAGATGTACCGTCTATACTTAAATGATTATATTTACAATCTTTATCATCACATTGACCCATTAATTGAAATGGACATATAATTTCATTTGGATTAATTCTAAAATTGCTGCTAGAACTTTCTCTATCATGAAAAATGAAAAATTGATTTTTTAATTCATTTCTGAAAATAAAAGAATTATCAAATGTCTATAATATTTTTAATCACCTTTCATTAAGAAATTCAAGGGGTGAAATATATTCGAAATTTTCATCTTTTGTATCTTTAGGACCTTCTGTTAATACATTAAATATAGGTGGTTCATCAAATATTGGCTCTTCCTAAAACTCATTTAAAAAGAGTTAAGATAAATTAATATAATATTCGTAATTGAAAATCAATATATTTAAAAATCAACTTTCAACCTGGTTTAATTGTACATCTTTAGAATCTGAAGTAGGTTCTGTTTTATTATTTGTACTTTCGAAATGATTTTTGTTGATTGTTTGGTCAATATTTTCCGTAAATTTGTCTTTGCAGACATCTTTTTGATTAATCTCTTTGTTGATATTTGTGATCTCATTTTTTTTTTCAATATCAGAATTATGTTTCTCAGTGCCACTTTCTTCAATTTCAAATTCCGATTCTTTACACTGACTAACTTTTCTTGCATTGTTTATATCTTGTTGTGATTCTTTTTGGTAATTTTCAATATCACTAATTTTCAAATTTTTCAAGTGATTAATTTCATTTGAAAGATGTTTGAATTTATTCTGAATCTCTACACTTAATCCTTCTTTTAATCTGAAATCACATTTAAGTTTAATTAACTTATTTTAACATAAAATAAGATAACAACATGCAGAATCTGAGTTTTTTTACATTTAAAAAAAAACTTTGCAATCAAATTTGAAAAAATGAATTAAACAAAATAAAGAGTAAATAATTTCAAATTTTAAAATTTATCTGTACATTACGAGTATATGTATGTAGTTTTATTGTGAAAAATAATTAAAAATTTAACTCACACAGGCGTATTATCGTTCAAAGATTTGCCCAACTGTTTGGAAATTTTACTTAGTTTTATTCTCCGGGACTTTAAGTGTACTATTGTTTCATAAGATTTTGAAATGGCAGGATAAATTTTGGCAATTTTTTGATTTTGTAGTTTAAGATCTGTCTCACACAATTTTAATTCAGCTTTCAGTTTTTCTAATTTCGATTCGAGCAACACTTTTCTTGTCTTGACCTCTTTACCCATTTTGACGAACTTTAATGCCCTATTCAAGTTTTCAAGTATTAAAGTGCTGGTAACGTGAAAATATTTAAATAATTATAAAAATAAAATTTTAATGTGTATTTAAATAATGAAAAGAGGAAGTACCTATTTTTGTCGTGAGCGATTTCATATTTTTTTATTAAATCTAAATTTTGTTTTGTCTTATCGTTTCTATCTACGATAACATTACTTTGCTCAAAATTTTCTGGAGTAATTGAATTAGATTGTATATCAATTTCATCAACAACAGTTGAAGTTTCATTCTTGGCTATTTTTGGTCCCTTATCAAGAGGAACATTTAAATTGGAATCAGATTCCACTTTTTTGTCGACATTTTCAGAATTGTTCATTTCCGTATTACTTTCGGTCATATTTTGAACAGCATCAACATTTGAATCACTAATTGCAGTCGGTTCACTTAAAGGTTGTTGTTTAATAAGCTTTTGACGTTCTAATATTTTCATACGATTTATCAGCATTCTGTATTCCAATTGGGACGATTCTGGTAAATGTCTTACAGCCTGGAAACATAAAATTTATAAAATACACAAATTAAAAATATTTTTGTAATATTACAAACATAAAAATAACTTGTTATTAGCACAAACATTAAAAAAGAATTTCAACTCACTATTGGGGTGACAGATACTGTATTTGTAGGATTTAATTTTGACATAGGAGTCTTTGGTTCTGATAAGTTTTGACTTGTTTGTTCAGCTTTTTTTCCAAGTTCTACTTGAGTTCTGGCATTCTTCAAAAATTTGTCTAATTTTGCTTGGAAAACATCGTTTGTTGATTTGACAATAAGTTTATTTTCTTCATTTAAATTCTCTTTTAAACTCTTTTCAGCTTCCATATTTTCCGCTACTTCATTAAATTTCATTTCTGAGATTGATACAGCTGGATATGGTGAGTAACATGGACTATCCATTTGAAAACTCATTGGACTAGCATTATCATCATAATTGGAGTCTATATTTTTGTTTGATTTTTCATTTGGATCAAAAAGGTAATCATCATCTTCTGATGACGATGTTACTCCAACAGTTATTATTAATTTACCCGTCGTTTTGTTAATTTTGGACACTCGGTTTGAAATTATACTAGCTTCATTAATATTTGGAGGACTTTTTCGCGAAACAACTTGCTTTGAGTTCAACTTAACTAATTTATTTAAGTTACTACTTTGAGTAGAAATATTATGGCCTTTTTGCGACGGTTGATTAATTATTTTATTAATTTTTACAATTTTTCTACTTTGTACTAGGTTAATATTTACTGGCTTCGGTTTACTTACATCAAGTGATGCTTTGGCTTTGGCAGTTATTTTTGTAGTTTGTTCAATAGAATCCGATAATTTCTGGAGTGATTCAATTTTTTTTGTTATTTCTAAAGATGTATCCACTGTATCTTGCATGAAATTTTCCGCTAATTTATCAATATTTTTTGTTGTACTTTTTTCCGAGGTATCCGTAAAATTAATTTGAGCATTTATATTTTCATCATCCACAACATTATTTTCAAATTTGTGCTCTTTTGAGCCTTGTACATTAAAAGTTTCTTCCTTTTGATTGTTCCCTTCATTATGTTCCTCTGAACTTTGTTTCTTTAATTCATTATAATTGCATATACTTTCTTCGTTTTCAGTATTTAATCCATTTTCTGGGCTTATTCTAACTAATTTTTCATAGTTCAGTTCAATAATTTGTTGGAGAGTTTCAATACAGGATTTAGATGTTAGATTTTCAGCAATTTCTCTAGTGTCACTGATTTTTGTTTTTTGTTCCGTATCATCTACATCACTTAGATCTTCAGAACTTTGTGCTTTATCATAATCAGAAGTCCCCGTTTTTTCTTGTTCAAGACATTTTATAAATCTATTTAATTTTCTACGAGATTCTATAAGTAGTTCTTCAGATTTCAAAGTGTCAGACCCTTCAATAGATACTTGTGGTCCTGAAGAAGTTTGAATTTCTTTAAAGCTATTTCTACTATCAGGTACAGAATAATTTAAGAATCTGTCAGTCTTATTTTGACTAATAACGGAGTTTGTTTCGAAAATTTGGTCATTTTCTGATAAATCATTAAGTGTACTTGTCTTTAATCGCTTAACAGCTTCTTTGAGTAATGATTCTGTTTTATTTGCATTTTTGGCCTTCAGTGATACGATTTCATATGAGTTCATATCCTGATCTTCTTTTCTTTCATCATTTAACGTAACCTGTAAATTTTCAATTTTGTCTTGTTTTGTACTTTTGCAAAGTGACTCGTTATTCTTATTAATAGTCGTATTTTGCGAATTATCAGTTAAAATAGTTTTTTTTATAGAAATGTTATTAACTTTTGGAGAATTCATGGTTGACAAGAGTAAAGCTCGTAAAGCAAGCTCTTCTTCATCAGATAAATCATCTGGCGAAGAATTTTTTGTGGAAATAATCAGTTTAGATTCATCTCCCTTATTTGTTTCTTCTAAACATTTTTCCTTTAATCTAATAGGTGTCGGAGATATTATTGTAATTTGGGGTGGTGGAGGCGCTAGTTTTTTCAATAGATCAATACTTGACAAATCCATTTTAGGAGAATTTAAAAATTTCGGTTCTTCTGAATCAGTATCTATATTTATTAGGTCAATATCAACTGATTTTACATTATCTTCATCTGATATATTAATTGGCGATTCTGGGGGACTGATATTATTAGAATCAAAACATTCTAATTCATCGAAATCCTTTGGAGAATTTTCTATATTTATTCCACTACACCAATAATCAAAATCCGATGGTGAATACGGTTTTTTTTCATCAATTTCTCTACGCTTTTTACGATCCAAATGTTTCTTAACTATAGCCGATTTTAAAGCAATTAATCTAAGAGTTTGTTCTTCTAAAGAATCTGAGTCATCACTAGCAACTGTATTATTCCTTTCTGCGTTCTCATCTTTAGATTTTGAGTTGATAATTTCAACTTCATTATCATTTTCTACTTCTATTACATCGTCATCTACAATAATTTGGTCTTTGATATTGCCAACAATATTCTGAAAATTTCCTTTGTGCATTGTTTCACTGTTTCTTTTTATAGCTTTTCTTAGTTCCTCCCGATCCAGCTCATACGTATCTGATTTTCCAGAATCAGAATCGTGTGATACTGATCCATAATGTTGATTTTTTAGACGACGTTTTCGTTTTGACCGCTTTGATCGACTTTGATGATGCTTAGTCGATTTTATTCTTACCGGAGAAAAATCTAATAAAGGGCTATGAGATCTTTTCCTCCGTTTTTTAACTCTAGATAATCTGGCAGATCTATTTTCATCAACATTTTTATTATCTGATGAATGAGCTCTTCTTCGTCTTTTTCTTGATCTGTGGTAAGATTTAGCGACACTATTTTGAAAACCTGAGTCAGTTTTTGGAAATTTTTTATAATAGTTTTTCAGTACATTGTACTTGGAATCGTATGGCATAAATGCTGAGCTGACATCATTGGAAGCATATTCAGGGTATTCATAATCAGATAGTTCAATAATATCCAAAGGTTGATTCTCTGATTGAGGCACAATTTTATTACTTCCTAAATCTTTAAAATAAAATAATTCTTTTTATTTTTATTTTGTATAAAACATAGAAATTAATTTTTTTTACAATAGTCCAAAAAACAAAATATAGCAAATTAACAAAATATAAGAAAAAATTTATAGTTGATTTACAAAATGAACAATGAATAGCTGTGCACACGTAAGGAAACGGCTCTATTTTGAAACAAAAGAATAATGTAAAAACAACAATTATCATGATATTTTGTTCTCTTCATTTTTAGGATTCTTTTAAATACACCACAATACATTTTAATTGATTTTTATTATCAAAGTCATTACAGTCTAAACCAGGGATGGGGAACCTTTTCTCTATATAAGGCCAAATTTTAGTCAATGCAAAGTCAATCATGCCGCAAAGTTTAAAAAAAGTCCAAAGGTTATAAATTTTTGCTTTGTGTAGGTTGATGAAAACAAAATTATGTCAGAATATAAAAAATAACATAAAACAGTTTATTTCATAAATAAAAATAGATAAGTAAGTATGTACATTATTAATAAAATAATATGGTTCATTATTTCAATGACTTTGCTGTGATTGAAAATTATTGAAAAAGTTTACTAGCGTGGCATACAATTATTCTGAAAGAAGCCCGGACATAGGATTCAAATATTAATATGGGTTTGTTTTCAAACAAATATGTATGTAAATTTTGAATTCAAACGTTGTTAGAAATTTCATGGCTTTGAATTTTCCAATTTTTAGTTTTCAAATTTGAAAGTTTATGTGCACGGTTTATTTTTCTAAATGTTTGATTTGTTTTCGAAAATTTGGCAGCAAAATTTTAATTTTTAAGAAATATAAGAAATAAATTTTTTTAAGGACAAAGGCCACTAAAAAACAGTTAAAAGGCCGCATGCGGCCTTAAGGCCGCAGGTTCCCCATGCCTGGTCTAAACAAAACTTTATGTTGTAAAATTTAGTATGTGTGGGTCATTAATTAAGCGAATATTTTGTATCAGTATGTTTGCAATTTGAATAAGTTGATCTCTAGTTTTGTGCAAAAATTAACTTATATTATAATTAAAATCTTATATAAAAATATCAAAATACTTAATATGCTTTTTACCTGAAAGCTTTGCACATACCGTAGTTATTTATCACAGATATAACAGCAATTTTTTCTAATTCAGCGTTTCGTAATTCTAGTTCTTCAATACGTTTTCGCATTGAAAGCTCATCAGCTTCCGTAAATAGTGGATCTTCATCTGAAGAAATATCTTCGAATTCAACATCTTCTATAATTTGTCCTTCCTCGGGCTCGACACAAATTCTTATACCACCGTTTTTTATTACTTTATTATCACTTTCTTGGGTATTTATATTATTGTCAATTGGATGCTTCAATCCACTGACCGAACTGCTTGCGTCCATATCTACCATATTTTTCTACAAATACATCATATAAAATTATACAATGAAAATATTTTTTTGGTTGCGGAGCAAAAGAAAAGTAACATTAATAAAGTAAATAATCAATTATAAGCAATTTTAATAAATTTTCTGAAATTTCTTTGTTTTATGTTATAGGTATTTAATAATATCTTTTCTTAAATCTTAAACTTTTTCACTTTCTATAAAAAAAATTTTTAGATACCATTTGACGTTTTGAGCAATGACATTAGCCTAAAATTCAAAAATCAGTGTTGTATGTGAATTTGAATATTACGTTTCACTCTTCATCTTCGATCAAGTCATTATTTAGAGAAAAGTAAATACGTTTTTGTATGAGGTTGTATTGTAATTTTTTAGTATGAGTACAAATTTGTCAAATTTCTAATTGAACAAAAAATTTAATTTTATTTTTATGGCTAAGAGTAGATGAAATGTATGTTATTTGATGTATTTAGAAACTGTCAAAATATCTTTATTGTGTAAACATCATTCTACATTTTTGACCACTGCCATTATTAACAAAACCCGTTTATATATTAATAAATATTCGTCCTCCCGGTTATCATTTTCAAACTATCAACATACATTTTATTTACTTCTAAATTGACCTGTTTATCTTTATATCACATCCTATTTCAGCCAATTATTAATGAAACATTTAGACCAATTTAAACAAATCTGTAAATTTTTCCTCGCTGACGTAAAAACAAAAAATGCCCGCATGCTATGATATTTCTCATACAAAAAATGATTTTGCTGCCACCAGTTGTGCATCAAAACATAAAAGTTCAGCAGCAAAAATTACTCAACAAAAAAACGTATAAAACTATATGATGTTTTTGCTAATTTTTAAGATTGCTTTTAATTTAAAAAGTTTAGATTTGGCGAATTTGTGTTTGGAAATTTGGCATCCAAAATTTTCAGAACATGGTAACTTTTATTCGTGAGTATATCGAATCGACAACAAATTGATTATAATTTGGAGAGATAACAAAAACAACAAAAAAAATCTTTTGAAGAAATTTTTGTCTATATAAGTGGTGAAAATAGGAATATGCCGGTAATTGTTTAGTAACCGTTGTTATATCAAAAACTTAATTTATTAATAATTTCTTGAGGAAATTTTATATATAACGAGACAAAAAAAAAAAATTAAAATGGCTCTAATTCCATCATTACTTGATTTTCATGATCCATGGGAATTACGCCGTCATACTCATCGTCACCGACATCATCGTGATTGGGATCATTTTGGATTAGGAATTACACCAACTGAAATTCAAGCTTTAGCTGAAATACCGAATTTATTGAATGCCGAGTTAAAAAAACAATTAACACCAGCTGGAGAAGCAGCAGCTGTAATTGGCAAAGATGGATTTTCAGCTCATTTGGATGTTAAACAATTTAAACCAAATGAAATAACTGTAAAAACTAAAGACAATCAAATTGTAATCGAGGGAAAACATGATGAACGTATTGACGAACATGGATACATTTCAAGACATTTTGTGAGAAAATATAGTCTTCCAGATGGATACAATACGAATGATGTTATTTCTACATTGTCATCAGATGGTGTATTAACTATAAAAGCATCTCCACCAGTTGATAACACTAAAGAAAGAATAATTCAAATTCAGCAAGTTGGACCAGCTCATCTAAATGTCCGTGGGCAAGGTCAAGTTGAAAAGGAACAATCAAAAAAGTAAAGCGTTTTCATGAACATTAAGAAATCATCCTTTTTTTATAAGTTTTTTTTTTCATTCAAACAAAATATGCATTTCCACATTTATGTATGTAGTACATTCATTATAAAATTGAATAGATGTATGTGTGTAATTTCTTACAATAATAAAATTAAGCCCTATTATGGCCTACATTAAAACTTAAAATTTTTATAAATTTAATTCATTTTAAGTTTTTTAAATTTTGATTAAAATAATTCTTTGGTTCAGGCAGAGAAATATTTGGAGTTTGAGGGAAAGACGAAAAATATGTGCTTCCATTACAGTTGAGAGCGATTTTTATGCATTTTTATAACAGTTATGTATATTATGCAAGGGTGGTTAGATACATAACATTTCTTAAAATACATATATATTTACTGGTGTAAGAAAATTAAAATTTAGGTACCCAAAATTCCACCATTTTTTATAAATTATTTTTACCATCCATTTGCTTGTATGTACGTAGTAATTTAGGGTACGTAGTAATGGATGCTGAAGAAGTACACCTTTCCTATGTCTGTAAGCCGGTAGGTAGATAACATATTGTATGTATACTCGTAGATTCTTTTAAAACGCAAAACCAAATTTATAATAATTTGTCTGTGAATTTTCTAGAAATTTTTATAAATTCAAAACTTTGGGGTTTTTCACCCTTAATTAACATACAATGCATGTACATATACATATATATATATTGTGTATATTTACATACTTATGATATATTATGTGTATATAAATAAAAACACTAAAATGATAAAGAAAGTAAGTTTTCAAGGCAACCATGTCAAATTTCATATTATTGTGTATACATATGTGTTTCACTTATCGCTTTTGTTTAAATTGAAATAATTACATATTGTTTTGTATCTTGTAATTAAATTGATTTTTTTAAAAATTATTGCATTGGTATCTCGTTCCCTATATGTATGTACATACATATGTTTGAATTATGTGCAACTGAATGCACATATATGCGCCATATCTTGTATATATTTGGTACAAGTCAGCCATTTTATTACAATTTTTAACTACTCAATTGATTTCCCCATACTTACAGAGTTTATCGACCGGCTTTTGAAAAAAAAAAACCATCTTGCATTCCCTGTTTCTTCCCCTCCCGCTGCACTTAAACCTTGATGAAAATCCAATCCCATCGCACATAATACGGACTTTTAAATTAAAGAACAAAATCATATTTTTTTTTAAATACGTTTTTAATTTTTATTTTAAATGAAAATGAAATTAAATACATACAATATGGAATAAAAAAAAAAACTAAAGTTCTACATGGATCTACATGACTTTTTTTCTTTAATTTTATTTTAGAATGCAAACACCCTTAAAATTTTTAACATTTATTTTTTAACTTAAAAAATAGTAGTTTTATTTTGATGGAATAGCAGTAAGTTTTTTTTTTTTTTGAAAATGATTCTTATTATAATTTTTATGTGAAGTCTTTTTTTCTTTTTAGCGTAATTTCCTGCTTGGAATAAATTATTTTCCATTTTCTACTTGCATTGGTTCTTCTTCGCCATTTGTACCTACTTTAGCAGGTCCAACAGATTGAATTTCAATAACTCTCTCATTGCCTTCAATTTGTTTTTGTGGTGGTGGAGCTTTAATAGTTAAAACACCATCAGATGACAAAGTCGATGTAACTTCTTTCGAATCGTATCCTTTGGGAAGAATGTACTTTCTAGTAAAATGGCGATAGATATGGCCATGTTCATCTTCACGTTCTTCATGTTTTCCTTCGACAATTACTTGATTATCTACAGTTTTAACTGTAATTTCTTCTGGTTTAAACTGTTTCACATCCATTAATACTTTAAAACCATCTTTTCCAACTGTTGGCGCGGGTAAATCATTTCTACCACCTGATCTTCGCAATTCATTTCGATGTCTTGGCATAATTGATAAAATTTCTGGAATTGATGGATACAAATCTACAGCATCCAAAAGATCTAACTCTGGTTGGCGACGAAGAGGATGGCGGGAGTGCCATGGTTCATAATAATCGAATAATAATGGTAGTAAAGACATCTTGATTATTTTTTAACTTTAAAAACTTTTTCTTTCAAATTTATAATTTAAAAATTTGTTCTTCAATACTACCTTAGCGGTGTTGCTAGTTTATTTCTTTCTTAAAGCCGTTTAACAACTACATAGCTTTTTCTTTAAATTCACCACTTATATACTTTTTGGATTTTCTTTTATTTCGATTTTCGATTATTCTATTTCTTTATTGTACTAGAATCGTGTAGATTTTTGTAGAATTTTCCAGCCGCAGCAATATCTGTTCGCGTAGTAGAGTTGCCGCTTTTAAAAATTTTATCAGCTAAAATTTAGAAAAAGAAATGGCAATCTTTTATAAAATGGACAAAATTTTGCGTTATGGAGGTTGATAGTCTGTTCCATACCGTTCCAGGCTATTTATTTTACTGGACTGACTACTGAGTGGCAATTTTGTGAGAAGTGGTTCATTTTAAGTTTTGAAAATTTGGTGGTGCACGAAATAAAGGTACAACTTTGAAGTAGTACTTCAAATTTCCTTAATAATTTTATTTTGAATCAACTACCTTTCAGTTAAAGTGAAATGGTAATTGTTTCACTTTGACTATACAAAATTTTTACCATCGCCCAATTCCGAAGTGCAATTTTGCATCTTGATTATTTTTATTGCTAAATAAAAATCTCTGACACATGCACCACTAACAATTAAAACCAGTACTAACAGACTTCATCAAACTTTAATCGTTTCAATGATCTAAGTTTTCCTGTCATACAATATCTACTATTTCTGCCATTTTCATTATAAAATCAAGTTTTTGCTACATTCCATAGTCGGCATTGGTAGTGTTGCCAAACAAAACGTCAATCAAAAAAGTTCAACAACGACTAATGAAAACAATAGGCCACAGATCTCTAATTTTATTTGTTTTTACGAGGAATTCATGCAATGCTGGATGAAGTTAAATGTGAAATGCCGAATGCACCAAAGTAAGTATTTTTGATTTTATTGGGAGTATTTACCAGATTAATGGCGCGTCATTTTATTTTCATCCAATTTACTGCTCTATTGTTCTGATGAAATATTTCAAAGTACACCGTGGACAAAATCAAGAAAATGAGCAGAAAATGGGAAAGTAACATCATGACACAATATTATTATGTAAATACACCCACTATTTTGATTTCGTTACTCAATAAATATACGCAATTTTGATTTCAAATAGAGCCAGACAAATAAGCGTTACTAATCGTCGTGATAAAATATCAACTGGCAAGAAAAGCGCTTTTGCTCAATATAGACCAACAATTTTGACAAACTTGCAGCGCGGAAATACTGAAGCAACATTTTGTGAAAGAGATGTGACATTAAGTTTCCATGAGCGCTGTGCTCAAGGAGAAATTACTGAAGAGGAAATAAAAGAACAGACTTACATAGATTTTCTAGATTCAAACAATTTAACGGCTTTACATTGGGCTTGTGGGTATGGGCAACTAGATTCCGTTCAAATGTTAATTAAAGCTGGAGCAAATGTTAATATAGAAGCTCCAGATATGATCACCCCACTACTATATGCTGCTGGAGGGGGCCATCATGAGATTGTACGCTTTTTACTTTCGAAGGGAGCAGATATTGATCATATGGACATAATAGGTAATACTGGTAAGTCTATTACTGTAAGTTAAAACACATTTTTGCTTTAAATTTTACATTTGTAGCATTAATGTATGCAGTTGCCGGAAATCATCCACACACAACAAATGAAATTCTAGCATATTATCCAAAACTATGTTTATCAAATGAAGAGGGGGAGACTGCATATAGTTTAGCTATTAAAAATAATTCAAAGCTATCACAAGCTGTTCTTGAAAAATATATAGAAAAGTTATTAAGTTTAGAATAAAAAAATGTTAACTAAATATAAAAGTTAATTTTATATTTCTTATAATTGATTATTTAAAGCTGAAAAAACTGCAAATACAATTATTGAATATTCCTGGTGAATTTTGTTATTAAATATTAAACTTCGTCATTTGTCTACATACATACATATATGAATACAATACCTTATAATTAATTTCAACAACATAAACTTCACGTGTAGATTCACAGGCTACCCAACATTGGTTTTCTTCCTGGCCAAGCCTCTTTGGCATATTTCTTTTTCTGAGGTTCGGAACTTGTTTCAACTCGATCCTCAAAACGTCCTACAATTATTAATTTTAAATTACGAATTAAACAGTATATTTTTAAATATATATATGTATATACATACCTTTTGCATTATTTGGAAATGGAGAAGGAGCGATTGGAGGTGTACTCGTTTCTGGATTGACATCCGGCGCTGGGTTTGGTAGTAATAAACCTAATTTAGTTCCCATAACAACATCAACATCCAGCAATTTGCTCGTTCCAGAAGAACTACTACTAGGATTGTGTTGGTGGTCTGAAATGGCAGCCGGAAGTCCGTGATATAAAGATGGAATTAGGGCTGATGGATGCATGTGTTTTACATCTGCCACATGAGATATCGATGAGTGAACACTTGTGCTTGTTGTAGGTATTCCGTGCTCAATTTTTAACTTTTTAGTTGGAACAACTGTGGTTTGAACTAGATTTCTGAACCGTCCAACATTTGGATCTATATCCTCAGGGTTAATAATTATTTCTTCATCGTTAAAAGTAACATTTTTTCTTTTCCTAGGATTTTTTATTTGGCTTTGCTGAATAGACATTAAGACATTATTTCAATATTTAAAAACTACCATTTTACCTTTCTAATGTTATCATCTGTTATTCCAAGCATTGATATTCTCCGATTGTGGGCAGTATTGTATTCAGTCAAGTTCTAAAAATAAACTTGTTTAATACTATACAAAACAATGGAAATAAAGCCTTCAATACATCAACTTCATTTTGTGTTTCTGGTAAACCAAGTAAGGCTCCTTCACTGCTTTCATTTAATGGAATTTCTTCTAATATAGAGCTTCTCATAGTTACTGATGGTCGCTCTCTGATCGTCGAAAAAAATTTTTGTTAATAAAATGGAAATATGACTTTTAGAGCTTTGGTTTTTACCTTAAAATATAACGTCTTGTGGAAGCACCAAAATGAAATGTACTGTTTATTTGAAGTTGTGTAGGTTTATGAGGTTCTAAACGTAATGTACCTATGAAAGTTCCATGAGCTTTAATAGAAAACATATTTTCATTATATACAATATATATTAAATAAAATTATATTACTTGATCCTAAATCAACTAGATATGCAATATTTAAATGTTTATGGTATAAAAATGCCGCATGAACTCTGGAACATGATGCATGATCAATACAGAAATCATTCATTTGTGCATTTCGACCAAAAAGGTAGAATTTTTTTTCATCGATCATTAATTTTTGAATTAATTTATCTTCTTTTAACACATCAAGATGCAATCCAGTTGGAGGCTTCCCGGCCCTAAAATATCATTTTTACTTTTGGTATATTATTTTAAAATTTCCTTTACCAATTAGGGGGTTCGTATGAATTTGCCATATTACAAGTTTAAGAGATTGTAAAAATTTTAAGAAATTCTTAAATGGCTAAAATTTTCTTTTTTCCTAATTCATAAACTTTTACATTTGCTTTATATTATTTATTTATTTTTAAGTAATTTAGACAAAATCCACAAACTTGATAAGTCAACTGAATTTCGAAAGTGACATTCGAATAATAATGTCATAATTTTCACAAATAGGGCTGTACTATAGAAATATGACACACCAAAATGCCGCTGAAAGATATGAACTTTTGCATTTAACTAAATTAAAATATGTAATGCAAATTTCTTATGTCGTAATCAAAGGAACGAGTAAAAGATTTTTTTTTCTCAAACTCAACGCGAATTAGAGCCTACCGCTTTCTATGCTGACATTATTTCCCTATATCATTTTTACTTTTTACTTCCTGAGCAGACAGATAAACTTGTTGAATGAAGTACTAATTGAGTGAAGTAATTGAATGGGCCTTATTACGATACGTCAAACTTCTAGTTGTCATACCAGTAATTGTTATTTGTTATAATCACCACAGACAGAAATTTATTTTGTTATATTTTTGTTATGGCAAGGTTATAGTACAAGCGATATATGCGGTGAATGTGATTGTTTACAAGTAAAAACTCCGGGTTGTTTGATAATCTGATGTGTACATTTCGAAGAAAATATTAAAATAGAATAATACCTATATTAAATATTTTTAATTAATTTTTATTAATTGTTCATTAAATATGAGATCTTCAACCCCTCCAACTCATTTAATCAACTTGAAAGAACAAATATACTGCTTTGAAATTTGTGGAAATGATTTTGCTCATTATTTAATTGGAATAGCTGTCACAAAAAAAGTGGTTTTGGCGCTACTCAAATTTCCGGTATTACATTTCTTTCATAATTTAAAAATTGTTTACTAATATATTGCTTAGGAAGAAACAGAGACTGAATCTTTTGAGTATTTGCCAACTAAAGAAATTTACCATGAAAGCAGATGCCATGCTATTGCTTTTTCACCATCAACATCCTTAGCCTGTTTGCCAAAAGTTGTTATGTTTTGTACAGCAGGAGCTGATTTTATTTTAAGAATTTTTCGAAGCGATTTGCAAAATAGTGATACTGTGCAGGAATTGAAAGGTTTTAATTAAAGAAAAATTATAAAAATTACAATTATTAAAATGCACAAATTGCAGGTCATACAAATTATGTTAACGATTTGGCGTGGGAGCCGGAAGGTGAATTTTTAGCATCAGTTAGTGATGACCATTCATGTAGAATATGGAGTAGCATAAACAATTTTGAATCGGTAACTACATTCTGTTTGAATTCAGCTGGTATGTCTGTAAAGTGGCACCCGGAAGAACCAAGTAAAGTGCTGGTAGCTGAAAAAAATGGAATAATTCATTTATATAATGCAAAATCACAACAAGTTATTTTGTCATTAGAGTCTCCAAAAACACCGTTAATGAGCGCTGATTGGTCATTGCATAATAGAATGTATGTAGCAGCTTTGTGTGGTGGAGACATTATAACTTGGGATTTGAGGAGAACATGGTAATATAAAATAATGAAATACAAATTTATACCTGTAGAATATTTAAAAGACTTTCAATATCTATAAAAATATAGCCGCCCAGCTGATATAAAACAAATACATGAGGATGGGGGTCGAATTGTAAAAATTTCTCCGAATACAGACCAAGTGACTGCAAGCGTCGGTAGGCCGGATATAACATTGAAGGTTTTGACAGCCAAATCTCAAATACCGTTAATAGAATCTACATTAAAACTTTATGGAGGCTTGGCTTGGCATTCTAGATTGCCTTATGTAGCAGCAGCATTTGATAGAAAGTTGTGTTTTTGGAAAGTTCAAACTAAATGAAATAAAATTAAAGCTTGTGTTTATATTTAAATTTTGAAAAAATATGCTAGTCTTACTAAATACACATATCTTGGTCAGGTTGGTCTTTAAGCACATATTGATTTTTATAGAAAACCGGGTAAGTACATAATGTATAATAGTAAGTTGATGACAATTATTGTGTATGAGAGCACACATATGAAAAATTCAATTTTAGAATGCGTATGTTATGCAATTTGTATTTTTATTAGTAATAGTCGCAATAGTTGACATTGGTTTTTAGATATCTTATAGAATTTTCCCACATTGGGGAATGAAAAGTTAAACGTTTAAAGTAGTGAATTTATTTATAAATATTAATTTAAGAGCCATTTAGTGAAGCTAAATATTCATTATATTTTTGTTCCTGCTGTTGTTGTAATTTTTGTAATTTTTTCAGTTGTCCCTTACTGATTTCTTTTCCTTGAATATCGTGTGTTGGAAGTCCCTACAATACAGAGACAAATGTTTAAATTTTTAGTACAAAATTTAGGATATTTTTCTACACTTACATTGTTGTCAAACGCAGAATATTTGTCAACTTCATGCAAAAACATTTCTTTTGGGTTAATCTTCTTTTGAGCTTCCTTAGCAGCTAATGCAGCTGCAGCTGCTGCTTTCTTTTTCTCCTTTTCTGCGGCCTTTTCCAATTCTATAGCTTTTTTTAATGCTTTATCTTTTAAAAGTGTTTCTTTGTCAACGAGTTTTAAAGCAAATTTGCCATTTTCTTTATCTTCTAAACGCACACCTAAATTAACTAGCGTTTCGTCTCTTAATTCATCACATATTTTTAAAATATCTGTCGCTTTTAACTCTTTTGCCTTTTCTCTAATTATATTTCTGAATTCGGCAGTGACAGTTAGGTAAGGCATAATTGCATCTTCAAAATTACCAGAATCCAAAGTACAATTTTCTCCGACTGTAAAACCAATTCCACCTCGAGGTCCACTGATTGCGCCAAATATGTGTAAAAGATCTGTGATATATATTGCTATCTTTCGCAGCAATAATTTATTAGGATTCGATTTGTTGTCCCGAATATATATATTACTATTTGATACCAAATCTCGAATGCAATCAAGAGCTGTTCTTGTATCAATATTATCTAAAAAATATTTTAAAATATGTGTCATGATATAAATATAAATAAAAGCTATAAATCAAAATAATACCACAAAGGGCATTGTGTACGGCAGATCGTGTGACATCAAATTTTTCTTGTAATTTCTTTTCAACCAATGTCCAGCGATCGAAATTTTCACTGGGTTTTTCAGTACCAATAGGTCGTGTTAAATCCTTAACATTTAAAAAAAATTCCTAAAATAAAAACTTCTTTTAGTATTAAAGCTTACTAAAATTATTTGAGTTTCTTACATTTAAAAATTTTTCATATTGAATGGCCATTTCCACCGTATTGTCCGAATAATCGAGGGTATCTTTCCATGAATGAAGAAGAAAAACTAATCTTAATTGCGTTGCAGTGTGCTTGCTTAAAGCTTGTTGTATTGTTATAAAATTCTTCAATGACTTGGACATTTTACAGCCAGCTATTGTTAAATGTCCGGTATGTAAGAAATATTTGATCCAGTCTTCTTTATCGAAATATGCTTCTGATTGTGCTAGTTCATTGTCATGATGAGGAAATTTCAAGTCAACACCTCCTGTATGAATATCTAATGTATCACCGCAAATGTCTGAAGCCATTACGGAACATTCAATGTGCCAGCCAGGTCTGCCCTCACCCCAAGGACTAGTCCACTTCGGCTCGCCAGCTTTACTTTTTTTCCATAAGGCAAAATCATTTTCGGATTTTTTCTCTGTAAGCCTATCTTCTGCAATAGAGAGATCTCCTTCCCCTTCATGAAGAGATTTTATATCACCGTAAGCTTCTGGAACTAATTTTGCATAATGATGTTTTTCTCTTTTATCAAAAGCATTTACATCAAAATATACAGAACCATTTGCTTCATACGCTAATCCATTTGCTATTATTTTTTCAATGAATTTTACAATTTCAGGAACATACTCGCTAACCCTTGTTAAAACGTCAGGAGGTAATATCTGCAATAGAAAAGAATTGTATTTGTTAAGTAAAATTTCATAATACGTTGTAAGATGTCATCACCAACATTTAATGATTTCATATCAGTATGAAATTCGTTTTCCCAAAAACGTGGCAGTGATTCGAAAATACTGTTATCATTTACTAAATTTCCTTGCTTAGAATCTAACCAATCCGAAATAGAATCCTTAGCTTCACTCAAAAAATTCATTTTGGATTTTTCGATTTCTTCAACATCACTTGATTTTACAGCTTTCATTAATCTATCAACAGCATTAGTCATTTTTTCAAGCATTTTATCAAACATAATTTTCTTATCTGGATCGGTATTCTTTTCAACCGTGGCATTAAATTTATCTAAAATATGTTTTTGATCTTGTAAAATTTGTTCAAGTGAATTAACTTCTTCGATGTATTTCTCATAGAGATAATTTTGTCGAGCTCTTTTTATTATTTTATCGTCGATATCAGTTATATTCATTACATACTGAACGTTATATCCAAAATAATCACTTAAAACACGACGAAGAATATCAAAAGATATATAAGATCTAAAAAAATTAAAAATTAAAAATGTAAAAAATTTGATTTAAAAAATTACCTTGCATGTCCCATATGACTTGCATCATAAACGGTGGGCCCACAACTATACCATTTCACATTATTACCATTTGTGGGAATAAATTCTTCTTTTTGTCTTGTTAAACTGTTATAAAGATGAAGTTTCGGTTGTTCTTGGGATTTTGGTAGAATCCAAACAGGTTGCGATCTCTTAGCCATTTATTTTCAAATCACGTTACTTTTTTGTATTCAGGGTAAAGGTACTTTTTGCTACTGGTTACTGTGAACAACTGCACACGTTAGTAAATTATTAATGTCACTTTATTTTGTTTATTTTCGAACTTCGCATGAAACATCAATTGGAAAATGACAATTTATGTATATGTTGCAACAGTGTTGCAATACCAAAACAAAAATAACTTAGTAGTTTAAATTTCTTTATACCGTACGTTTAGATAAATAACTGAAGCGTTTAAAATTTCGGAAAATTTGAAATTTCATTCACTTTCAAGTTACATATTTTGTATTTTACTTTGAAGTTACTTATTTTGTTTTAATAATTGTAATATTTAATGTTGCGGCCAAATTTAGTGTAAGCTTTAATTAACGCGGCACGCAGCAAGCCACTAGCTTACCCACAACACGCTCAAAATTGTAAAATTGATTTCAAACAAAGTTGCGGCGTGTAGCTTTCTGGAGGCTAAATATGAAATATGTTTCAATACAAACATTAAATATTTTGACAATTTCTTAACGCATGTAGCGTTAAATTTGATTATACATTTAATGTTAACGTTAAAAAATTTGGCTGGCACGTAATGTTAAACGTCAAATTTTCGAATTAAAAACCAACAACAAAATAGTTTTTTGTGTGATTTAGAAGTTTGTGTGATATGTATATGATTTTAATTCGAAATTAATTTGTCAATCAAGACGTGGTTGTTTTCCACTTTGGCTTTTTCTTTTTAAATATATTTAATTATAAAGAATAGAAATGGCTATTAATTCTCCTCCTGTTTTTATAGATTTGTCATTAGATGAACAGGTAAGAATATTTTTATTAAAAGGATTTAGTTTTTTTTTTAAAATGTTGTGCTAAATAAATTTTAAGGTTATGTGCCATAAAATTGAGACATAATCCAAGTTCATTTGCCTCAAAAATGGAATTTTAATATTAATTTATATTATAGGTTCAAGAGTTAAGGAAATATTTTAAAAGTTTAGGTGCCGAAATAACGTCTGAGAAGTCACCAAAAGGTATTGAAGATGATTTACACAAAATCATTGGGGTTTGTGATGTTTGTTTTAAGGATGGGGATCCGACAGAAATCGACAATATATTAAATAGTATTGTCTCAATTATGATAACTGTAAGATTTTTTTCATATAGATTATATTGTTATAATTCTTAATTGATTATTTTATTTTAATTAAGATCTCATTAGATCGTGGGGAAAATATCGTGTTGGCTTTTTGCGAAAAATTGACAAAGGCACCAGATGTACCATTAGCTAGGGTGTGCCTTCACTCGTAAGGAAAATTAATAATAATTTATGAAACTTGTTACAAAATTTCAAGATTGATTTCAGTTACGGCCTTTTTCCTTTTCAGATTGTGGCGTCTTTTCAATAATCTTGATACAACTTCACCATTGCGATATCATGTATATTACCACTTAGTACAAGTAGCAAAACAATGTAATCAGGTTAATGAAGTATTTAATAGTGTTGAAAAACTAAAAGCTCAGTTTGCTTTATGTTCTGTATCAAGCGAACAAATGCAAAAATTGTACCGTTTATTACATGAGGTTTTACGTGATACAAATAGTGAGTTATCAGCTAAGGTAATGATTGAACTCTTAGGAACATATACAGCCGAAAATGCATCTGTTGCAAGGGAAGATGCCATGAAATGTATTGTAACTGCTCTTGCAGATCCAAATACGTTTTTATTGGATCCTTTGTTATCATTAAAACCAGTTCGTTTTTTGGAAGGTGAATTAATTCATGATCTACTTTCTGTTTTCGTGTCAGAAAAATTACCAGCTTATCTTAAATTTTATAATGATCATAAAGAATTTGTAACTTCTCAAGGATTAAATCACGAGCAAAATATTCGAAAGATGCGTTTATTAACGTTCATGCAGTTAGCTGAATCTAACCCTGAAATGACATTTGAGCAATTAACTAAAGAGTTGCAAATTTCTGAAGCGGATGTGGAACCGTTTATTATTGAAATTCTTAAGACGAAATTAGTTAGATGCCGTTTGGATCAAGCAAATCGCAAAGTTCATATTTCAAGTACAATGCACAGAACATTTGGAAAACAACAATGGGTTCAATTAAGAGATTTGTTACAAGCATGGAAGGAAAATTTGAGTACGGTCGAAGAAGGCTTAAAAACTGTGACAACTGCCCAAATTGATTTGCCAAGAAAACAAAAAGTAACCCATTAAATTATTTTCTATAAAAAAAATAAGAATTGTAACTGAAAACAAATTTTCTTATAATACAATAATTCCACAATTTAAAAAACTTTAAAAACTTTGTTTATTAATTGAAAAGAACAAATTTAAATACATAATTTGATTTTATACTGTATGTAAGATTATATAACTTTTTTAAAATATATTTGCTTAATTATACGCAGATATAATGGCAACTAAGCCAGCAACAAATATTTTGTTTATTTTTGCATTTTATTTAAGAATTTTATAATATTTCTTAGTATTAATTTGATAAATAATTTTCTAATTAGAATATCAGCAATTCGATAGTAGTTTTTCAAAATTTGTATGAATAACCTTGTGAACTAACAATCAAAGTAAGGGCATTTCTGAAAATGCAGCTCTCAAAGTTAGAACTGCAAAGCTTGAATGAATTAAATATATTACTTTTTAAGCTTTCTAACTTTAAGATCTGCATACTGAAGGAGTTAAATTTGGTGTTAAAAAAATTACGTGTTTTGTATTTTACCAAATTTTTGATTTTTTCAATCATTATTTATTATTAAATTCATAAACGATAAACGAATCGTTCATGTATTTTTTAATTGTAACGAATCTTTTAACTAAAAAATTTTAATTTTCAAGTAAGCAGCTACACTTTGTATTAATAATTACATACTTAGAAGTTTTTCTCAATGGACATTGTTCTTGTTTTAAAGTATGGATTTATATACATATAGAAGTAATTATATAAACTTATTTATCATTATTTTTATCACTGTTAACAGTTTTTGACTGTTGTTAGTTTTTTAATGAAAGAACTAAAAAATGAATCTCATATCCTGCGAAGATTTTTGCTAAAATGAATACAGAAAAAAAAATTAAGAAAAATGGAACAATATTTCAGAACAAAGAAAAATTTTTATTAAAAATCCTCTCTCTAATTTAAAAAATATGAAGAAAAAAAAGTGAGATGAAATATGAAGCATATAATTTATATTCCGACCTAATTAATCAGAAATGTAATGAAATTATGAAAAATAAAATCTTAAGAACAAAAAGACTAAGAAGAAGTAAAAGCTAAAAAGCCGGTTAGATTATTTTTTATATACCTACTTATGTACGTTATGTAAAATTCTTTTATTGTTCTTTTTAATCCAAATTTTTGATTAAAATTCTTGTCCTCCATTTAAAATTTTCTTTATTATAAAAGAAAATTATATCATCAAATAAAGGAAATAACTTTTCTTGACTTAAATAATATGTTGTGTGAGATATTTAATCAAGGGTAGCCCTCGTAGATTTAAAAAGTACGATATGTATTTAATATAAAAACTGGATAAATAATGAATCAATATAAGTATATACCTATATGTATTGATTCTTAGCCTTAGATCGGGTATGATATTAATACTCAACAAATCGATTCATATCCCTATTTTAAACATTTTTTGCAGTAAAATGTAATAATTTACACTTCTTTATTAATTTAATATTGTTGATTTAAATAATTTTTAAATTATTATTTGTGATTTATTGGATTTACTATACAATCATGTTCCAAAGTAGTTATTATTTTAGTATTTATTCTAAGAAGAATGGTATTAAGCTTTCGATAAATGAAATTAGTGGATGATTTTTAGTTATTTAGTTACTTATTATACATAACAATTTTTAAAATTAATATTTCATTGTTTAACGTTGGCAAAAATTTTGCTACTTGATATAAAATTGTTACTTTTAATTTCAATTTTTTAAATTTTATATGAATATTTTACTGGATGAACCAGTTTCTTAGAACTGTTACTGCGTGGACTTTTTCAAAAGCCTTCAATTTTTGCATGATAATATTTTCCTCCTTGCAATTAGCACTGTGCTACTAAATTGTTTTTGATATTATAATGCAAAATTCGAAATTTTTAAAATCGCATATTTCTAATATGCATCTTTTTCATATGGAATTGTACTATACATATTAATATATATGTACATACATATTAACATAAATTAAATACAAAAACACATACAATTTGTAATTTATTTTTAACAATTCTATTTTGTAAAATGAATTCAATGTTTAATTAATTATTTCAGGAATAGCAAATTTAATAAATAAGTTTATGCGATTGCAGTTTTCTAAATATGTACCCAATATAAAATATAATAGTAGAGGTAATTGAAAAATTCCTCACATTAATACTTAATATTTAAGCTTTTCCTTTTTATTATTTTTTTGTCTTGTTTGTTTCTTATTTGTAGCTATTTAAAAATTAAATTTTCCATTAATAGAAAATGTATAAAAATTTTTTTTTAGGATGAATTAAATGAAAAAAAACATGATTTCGTCATGATATGACAATTTTCCTTTTTTTGTACTTAGTTTTCCTCTTTATTTTTTCATAGTTGCTTGGGTGGTGGTACTACTGCTGTTTGCTATTTCAGCAATCTTTTATCATATTGCGGGTTCCTTTGATTTTCTTACCCTCATCATAAGTATTGTTCAAAGTACTAAAAAGAAAAAAGTTAAGAGGACAAAAATTAATATCTTTATATAAAAAAAGTACAAAATTTAAAAAAAAATGGGCCATTTAAGCAACAGAATGAAAAGAAAATAAATAAATAAAAAAAAAATTCAAAATATTTTCTTAAGTGTTTCCTTTTTTATTGCTTATATACAATATTTTTATAATCGTATCAGCGAATTGATGGTCCAAAGATAAAAACAAGAAAAACTAAAGTAAAAAATAGCCATTTTTAACCTGCTTGCTATTAAATTATATATTGTTGGTACATAAAATCGAGTTGTCATCCTTAAAATCTTGTGTCTTGTCTCGTTAATTATTAAAAATAATTATAATAAATAGCAAGCAAGTATAAGAAAAAAACAAAAAATTTAAGTATTTTCATCAGAATTTTTATGTTTTTTTTTTCTTTATACAAAAAACAAAACAAGAAAAAACATAAGAAGAATAAAGAATCCTGTTAAGGGCAATGTATAATTTCTTTTTACTTTTGAAAAAATACCAAATAAAACGAAATTGAATGATGACATAGAGACCTACCTATTCAATTGTAAATCAATTTCATTAAAAATATTAAAAAATCGTTAATTTAATTGCCCAAAATGATTATAGAGTAAAGAATTTGATTAATTCAATTTCATTCTTTTTTGCAGCCTAAACACGCAGTATAAAGATTTACAAATTTTTGTACATATGTATGTACATAATTCTGTTATCAAATTCATTGTACATTAAAATTAATTAATATGTGATAGCTCAATATATTTTTTTTTTGTCATACTTCGCTCCTGGGAAGAGCATAGGGCTGGTGCATGATATTCTAGATAACCATGAACCAGAGTTTCTAACGTCATTGAGTGCACTTGGTAGGTAACGGACCTGCCGGACGAAATTTTTTTTAAATTTTGTAAGTTCTCATTACTTTTGATTTTACGCATAAAATTTAGTTCAATAATATTAAAAAATGTTATAAAATTGTTTATAAAATTTAAAGTTGAAATATGATTAAAATAAAAAATTCTAGAGCGGCAAAAAAGAAAAATTAAAATAATTTAAAATCGTTAAAATGAATTTTAAAGTGACACTTCAATTTTTCAATTTCTTTTATTTTCATTATAAAATTTTCGCGATAATCGTCTGCAAAAAAAAAGTTGTTTTATATATAGAATAAAAAATTTAAATTAAAATGAATATTACTTCTTGTAAATGGACACAGATTATTCACCATCACTAAATATGGATACATCGGATGGGATGCTTTAATTAATTCTGTATAAAACTAGTAGAGTGAATATAAAAGTTAAAATAAAGAGGATAATAAAGACGTTCTATATAGAAGCTGTGCTATAAAATATGACATTTGCCAAATAAAAGTTTAATATGTACATATCTACATACATATGTATGTACTTTATGATAGTACAGGTCGAAAAACATTGAGAAAACCATTTGACAAGAGTTTTCGCTTATTTCTCCTGCGTGCTATTGGGATTCAATAAAATAGTGTTACGACGAAAGATCCGTTGTTATTAATGCTTTTGTGAAGTTTTAAGCTTTTCCAGGCTTTAAATTTCATCTAATAATTTAAAAAAAGAAATTTTTTGTTAGGTTTAATTTTTTTTAATTTTTATATAAAAAAAATTGTTATTATTCTTGTCGCAATTTATTTTTGTTTTTTCTTTAAAAATTTCAACTTTAATAATATTACAATTTTTTTTTTTGGACACTTGAGGAATATTAAAAAGAAGGTTAGTGTCAAAAGTAATTAATCAAGTAGTCTAGCTTGACTTCGTGTATAATTTTTTTTTTCGATATTTTTAAGGATTATAAAAGTTTTTAAAAATTTTTCAAAGATTTTCCAAAAAAAGTACAATTGAGGAAAACTTTTTAAGAAAGTTTATCAGGTATACGCATTTAAAGGAATTAAAAAGAATTTAAAAATAAAATCAGACACTGATTCAAGAAAAAATACTGATTGAGTGATTGTTTTTAGAAATTCCAGCATACTTTGTTTTGAATACAGTCTAAAACGCATTTTTTTATTCAAAAATTATTATAAAAATTTAAACTTCAGTTTTAAATTAACAAAAACTGATTTATAATTTATTTTATTCAGCAATTAGGATCTTATTCCTGTATAATTTGACATTATGTCTATTTTAAATAAATTAATAAAGATCCTATTTACATATTTCAACCAAAACTTACAATTTGCGCCTTCGCGCAACAAATACTGTGCTAATACACAAATTTAGCAATTGCAACTCAAAAGCGGAAAATGTGTGCATATATGAATAAATTGAAAATGTGCTCATACTACAATTTAAAAGTCGAGAAATAGAAATTCGGGAGTTTTTGTAAACTTTGAAATAAAGTTGACCAAAACCTAAAAAGTTCTTAAATAATTTTATTCTTAACCATGCTCCGTGGCTCTTGTTTTATTTTTGTTTTCTTTCTTTATAACTCTTGTGTATATAGTTTCTTAATCCTTAAAATAGTAAACATTTAAACGAATGAATTAAAGGAAAAATTGTGTTCTTAAAAATAAATGAGAAAGCATTTTAGAAAATTAAAAATGGCGGTGAAAAAAATCTAAGAAGAGAATAAAAAACATGAATAAGAAAAAGAAAAAGCCATAAATAAAATCTCTTCCATCAAGACTTAATTTTTCACGACAAAAGAGTACAAAGCGCGAAAGAAAAACACAAAAAAAAAAAAAAACAAAATAAATAA